GAATTCCTATGCCTGTTTTGGAGCGATACGTGCACAGAGTCGCCATCAGAGTTAAGATAAGAAAGGTGAATGTCTAATTCCATGGCAGTAGAATACGCGCACATTCATTCCTTTCTTGCGAGCTGTATTACAAAACGACACTAGCGATCGGCAACTTTCTAATCTTTTTGTTTTCTGGATTTTCTATTTTAGTTGCCAAGCCGATTATTTGAAAAACGGAATGTGATATTTATAATTGTTCTAATATGGAGCAATGATAATGAAGTCCCTGGTGATGATCCTGCTCACTAAAAATGGCGCTGGAGAGTAACTTGCTAAACAGACCACCTGTAGGAATTTACTAAAATTAATTTGAAACAAGGTCACAGCACTGGAGCTCATAGTGAGGATCAAATTCCCTCAGAATAATTTGCCAGACCGGCTTACTCGTTATTGCTTATTGGCAGGCATCCATAGATATATAGCAGTGGAATACCTGGTGCAATTTAAACTCATTAACATTGATTTTTTTTCTGAAATTTTAGCCATTACTCGACAACGTATACCTTATGCAAGCAGTTTAGCCTAATCTGGCAGCAGGCGACACTGGGTGAACACCTTATAAAACAACATACAAACCACCTTTTCTGAATGAACACATATAGTACTATTGAACAAATATGGAGAAATATGTCTCTGAAACTCACAAGAAATATAGCTTATGGCTGCTCGATATAATAATATGAAAATATGATTATTATTAAATTCCAAATGCTAATCTGGACGGCGATGCAGGAAATCGTATTACGTTACCAGACCAAGGAAGTATATGCAAAGGCCAACAACTCTATTTTCGACTGACAAAAACCAAGATACTCGAGATTTCATCTCGAAGTTTTCATGCAGCTGAAATATTTACTGTCACATGTCCAGTTCCATTTCAGTTATTTCATCATAATGGTTTTCTGGGAGTAAAACTGTTAAATCCTTTGCGATAGAACATCGAAACTTTCTCAAATATTGATTACCTAGAAATTTCTTTATTTGTCCGTTTTTAATAATTGTTTACCCAGTCAAGGTTCAAGAACCACTCAGGGTAGAGGATTATTGAATGAGGTTATTGCATGAACAAAAGAGAGGAATATAATAAATGTAATTTATGACGATATAAAGGAAAGATAATAGTTAACCTTAGACTTGAAGAGGTTAAAATTGCAGTGATCGAGTAAAGATCCTCTCATGCGTCTGTTTCACAAAGTAGTGGTTCTTGGGAAGAAGCTTTCCTAATTGAACTTCCTTCTTACTAATGGAATACTAAGGGAATGGGTATGATTTTCCCAGTATAAATGAATCATGGCGGGTGTTAGCTGTGAAGGTCAGAACTGATGGAACTAAGGAATGTAGCATGCCAGAATATTTACCATGGTAATAGCGATGGAGTTGTGAGAGGCTTGCGACGTTTCGTCTGTAAGATAGAAGTAAGAGTTTCTATCAATGTTTATGTAATAAATACACAAACACATTCACATGAATGCACGGATATACACGCACAAACATGTGTGTGTGTGTGTGTGTGTGTGTGTGTGTGTGTGTGTGTGTGTGTGTGTGTGTGTGTGTGTGTGTGTGTGTGTGTGATTAGAAGGCAATATACATTGTAAAGAACATCGGCGTTGGATAATGATTAACAAAGTTAATGTGGTTGACCATTGTTACTGAGTGATAACTGCGAATAGATGGATTCATGCCTTACCTCAAAGGAATTTTTGCGAAAGTGAACGCAACAGACTAGGCGGGAATTTGAACCCAGCTAGCCGATTCCACTGTTCGCACCGAAAACTTTTACGTTACCAGCACATAGAACAACATTACAAGTCCTTTATTACTTGTTTTATTTCATCGTATTATTGTTGTTTTTCATCACAACACTCGCGAGATGATAAACAGTTGAAACACGATGTACCGTCCCAGAATATTGTGATAGAAAGCCACAATAAGAGAACGGATTAAAACTAGTATATAAAGATAATAATAATTGTCCTTATTGGTTTCTAAGTAAATCATTGAATTCATATTCATTCAAAGACGCAAATAAATTTAATATCACAGATTAAAATGCGTGAATAATATATTTAATTATTTTTTCATCAGAATGGTCAGGTTTGGAGATTGGTGATGAATTTGTAGCGGTCAACGATATCTCTGTACACAACTGGCAGATGACCGCTGACCAGCTTCTCAATGTTGTGGTCATGCAGAGGCAACAGAGAGCAGGAGTGGACATCCTTTTCCAAAGGCTTATGTTTAATCCGCAAAAATTAACCATTGACAGTTCGTGCTTAATTCAGGATGTTTCCTGGTAAGTTATAGATATGTATTTCTTTCTTATATATGTATCCTTTGTTTCTTTTCGTCGCCAGTTGTTATATATAGGTTATAAGGAACTGATCTCAGTGTGGGTATAACACCGTTTGTTTCCCGTGAATGTATGTTTATCCGATTTGTACTGGAACAAATCATATCTGGTTACTTGGGCTTGAAAACTGTTTTTCTCGTATGTGTTACTCACAGTGACATAGCTCGATTTACCAAATCAAGTACTACCGACGACTATTCAATTATTAATCACTTATACACCAGGGCCTTAAGCCAAGCAGAAGTGGCATGAGAAAACAGCATGTCGCCTTGATTAAATTATCCAATATTTATGAAAAATGTTGATTTGCTTCCAGAAAATTTATAAATTTTCTTCTTCTATTGTACACCTTCGATTGGTCGCGGTGCCAAATGTACACCTTTTTTAGTCACTGGCACCAAATCTAACACAGCAAAGGAGTTATCAAGTGGGTGTTTTCGTCAGTTTACTATTGTCCCTGGTTACCGGATGCGATTGTCTAATTATTCAACCTTGTTTACATGCCAGGATGAGATTATCGTATAATTCTTCTATTCACCCTAGCAGGCCTTGGTTTTCTTGATCTGTAGACTTTCTCGAAAAGCAGAAAAATTATGGATAGAAGAAATAAACGCTGTTGTGAAAACTATCAACAGTTTAGTAACATCAACATTGCCAACGGTTGATTCTGATTGATTTCTATTAATTTTCTTGAGGCATTGAGATTGTTAACAGCAAGAGTAGAAGTACGTGTCCGTGTGTCGGAGGTTCCTGAAAATTGGGGGAGAGAGAGATGGTGGAGTCGCTCTGGACGTAACGAAAAACTGTGACGTGAACAGGCCAAGCGACTGCAGCCCTCATAGCCATTTGTCCGGGTAAATGACATTGATGGATATTATATTATTATAAAAACCCTGTTTGTTAGGACATCACATGACCATTCTAAAAGTACCTCGTATCAACTTTTGGATGTTGGTAAGAATCTGTGTAACTTGGAGAATAGACTGTTAAATAAACAGTTTCCAAACTCGGCAAGATTTTGCAAGTGTGGTAAGGGACATTCAGTCGTACTGAATTTGCAAAATCTGACTAGGTTTATTTTGGGTTCAAATCCTCCCGAGGCTTTCCTCATAAACATTTTCTAGGTTGTGGTTGATATTTCTAAATCGAAACTTCTTCCATCAAGGTCCAATCTGATCAACGAAACTTTTATATTTTCTATCCACTTTTGTATTTTTCTCCTTCATTTAGAATTCTTAATTCTCTCAATACCTCAGATCACTAAGCGACATATCATGCATTATTATGATACAGTCAGGGCTACTGCCCTGTCACATTATCTATCATTTCCATGTAGTAAATAGGTGATCCTGGCTCTCCGCAACTTCATATCCTTTGTAGTTCTTAGCAATGCTTGTATACCCTTCCGATTCTCTGTTCTGCTATCCATTTACACAAGCCTGTTAAGTAGCTTACTCACAATTTTCCACCGTTCCTATTCCTTTAATGTGTCCGGTGCGGGTCAAATTTTTCAAGTCCCCTTTCCTCATTATATGTCCTAAAAGGATTTTAACTATAATTTTCCCTTTTATTTTTATGTTCCTCTAAAAGTTTTTTGGGATCACGTGTTCTTTCCATGGTATTCTCAGCATCCTTTTGTAGAACCACATCACTGTTGCCTGAAGTGTCTTCTTCATCTGTCAGAAAATTATTTAGCATTCACTGCCATATAGGAGGATTCAGATTACACAGCTGTTCAGAACTCTTTACTTTTTTGTCATTATTTTTTTGTTTGTTATTACTTTGTTTAACTTTTGGAAAGTATCTTTTGATATTCCAATTCGCCTTCGGATTTCGGTATCACCTTTCAGCTTAATTTAATTAAGTTTAGTTTAATCTTACTTTGAGTTGAACAGACTAATGGGTATGCAGCTACCAAACTGAATAGAAATGAGTCCGATTGAAATTGACTTGACCGCACTGATTTCCAATCATTCTGTATGAGAAATGCTTTGACCGTTGTTTTTTTTATATTAGGTATGATATTGCTGACATGACATTCCATCGAAAACACAAGCCAAAATGGCCGTCGCATTTGCGACATACTCGGATGAAGATGAAAGATTCAACCACTGGTAGAATGGGACTCAATATCAGGGGAGGAAGAGAATTTAGCTGCGGCATTTATATTTCAAAGTAAGAGAGTTTTGCTTATTTTTATTAGACAAATATAAATAGAGAGAGAGATTTTTTACTTCATTCGTGAATATAGACACACTGAGGAGCTGTGATACAGCAAAACAGTCTGTCTGTGGATGACTATATATATATATATATATATATATATATATATATATATATTTATATATATATATATATATATATATATATATATATATATATAAATATATATATATATATATATATATATATATATATATATATATATATATATATATATATATATATATATATATTTCATATGATAAAAATATAGCTTTAAAGTGTACTATACTTATGAGTAAAAACGTTCAATATCAGGGATAGAGCGTATGCGGTCAACACCAAGCAGCGACAGTCTGTTTCATGTTAGAACACAATCTTCAGGATTGAAGATTGCGTTCAAGCATGAAAGAGATTATTGATGCTTGGTGTTTACCTCAGGGTCCACTTTCATATGTATATATTTATATTTCGATAGGCTCTACCATGATATTGTGCACTTTCATCCATAAATATACCATACCTAAAAACTATATTTTCTCATATATATATATATATATATAATATATATATATATATATATATATATATATATATATAGAGAGAGAGAGAGAGAGAGAGAGAAAAAATGGGTAGTCTAACATCTAACCCTAATTCATAGGCAATGATTCTCTCTTTCTCTCTCTTCTCTCTCTCTCTTTCTATCTATCTATCTATCTATCTATATATATATATATATATATATATATATATATATATAACTGAAGGAAAATATCGAAAAGAACGTGTTAAGCGTTTCGTCCTTTAAATGACTTCTTCAGACTGAAGAAATCCTTTCGAAGGACTACAACGAGAACCAACAAAAAGGGTTGCTTGCAAGTTTTGTTCGTGGAAAAGTTATGGTTCAGAGGTGCTTTACTGATTGTAGGCTACGCTATCTACTTACAGCGCTCGAGTATCAAGAAATGTTAGAACACAGCTTCAGACTGAAGAAGTCCTTTCAAAGAACAAAGAGCGAAACATGTGATGCTTTCCATTTTGTTATTTCTTATTATTAGTCTAATATATATAATTTGCACACACGCACACAGACACATCTTTCTCTCTCTCTCTCTCTCTTTCTCTCTCTCTCTCTCTGTATATATATATATATATATATATGTGTGTTTGTGTGTGTGTGTGTGTGTGTGTTCCTATCTATAATGTGTGTGTTCAAAAGTTCTATTAATTTCCGTTAGTGGTATCTAATTGGAATAACGAATATATTATCCTAACTAATGCGTGGTCCTTAAGAATAAAATTGGAGTTCATACCCTAGTTTTATATGGAAATTTGTTGTTCTCTTGCATGACAACACAAGGCTGCATACAGCAAGAATGACACAGGAAAAAATTGAAAATTGTTGGTTTGTTCTATACAATCCACCATATTCATGTAACATTTCACCAATTGATTATTTCGATCGCTGCAAAACGCTTTGAGGTGGAAAAAATTCTCTAATAAAAGCCAGACTGAAGAATTCGTCAAAAACTTTTTCACGTCAACACCTGTGGAATTTTAATCAAAAAGTATTAAAGAGGTGTCTGATGAACAAAGATGATAAACAAAAACGCAACTTATTTATAAGTCAATCTAAAAAAAAATCACCGTAAAAATTCTTGTCAAATTAGCTGATTCATGCTCAGAAGGTTATTATGTACGTGCAAGTGAACAGTGGCCGTAATTCTTTTTAATATTTAAATGATTTCAGTTTTATAATTAAAGCTCATTTCTCGGTGTCCAGTAACTACAGAAAGACTTGGAGTATTTAAAAACCACCATCCCGCGTACACATTTCATTCTAACCTGAAGAATCCCAACTTGACAAACGTCGGCGAAACGCGTCATTAAAAAGCTTTCCCATTACATCCACTTTTGTTTCGGATACTATTCTACATCCCTCTAACATGCATATATATATATATATATATATATATATATATATATATATATATATATATATATATATATAGGTTGTTATACATTCCGATCGTCCTCAGGTGTTTGTTGTTTTGAGTAATGTAAAACATTCACTTATCCTGCTTTCGTGAAAGTGATAAATTATTTCACATGAATGAACGAACTAGATAGCATTAACTGATACGAGATTACTTCTAGTATAGTAGAATGAGAAATATTTAATCCAGTTGGATTGAGCGGAGGCTTCAATTAAAAATTCCCAAAATGTTACTAACTACGACAGACATCTGAAGAAGGCAGCAGAGTACAACGACCGATATAATAATAACAACAATAATAATAATTACAACAATAATAAAACACCTACTGCCATATATAAAATTATTATAAAATATACATTTGTTATAAAATATATATATATATTTGTGTGTGTGCGCACGCGCATTAAAACGTCCGTTGCTTTATGTTAAAAAATTGTTTGCACCATACATATTTATTTTACACAATAATCTCCTCATTTGTCAATGCACTTAATCCATCGATGGATATTAATCGTATAGATAAAACGTGAAAATGTCATATAAAAATTAAACTGATAGATAAAATATGTGTTAGACTACGCGCTTATTGATCAACCCATACATACATGTAACGTATAACACCTGGGAACACCTTGCGTCAGACAGGTAGGCATGGAGAAATCTGATTGCTGTTGAAGAATTTGAGAACAACAGAGTTGCTTACGTGGAGCTGAAACTAGCTGTTAGATATATGGAAGATGTCAACTCTCAGAGAGAGAGAGAGAAAGAGAGTTACAAAGGAGTCCCTCGCGTGCGTATGATGAATGTGTCCGTGTCTGTTTCTCGAGGGCAGGCTTCCTCAGCCACCAACGTCGGCACAGAAACACCCACTACCAATATGATAGCCAGCAAGACTTTCCGTGCAGTATTTGTAACAAAGTATGTAACTGGGCGGCATAAACATTCAAATAATCAGACTGTTGCCAGAACATTTGCCTGTACACCTTGTGGAATTGTTTGCATGTCATTTACGGCTCTTATCAGCCATTTAAGACGTCATCAACGACATGGAAAATCCTCCTTGAAATGTTCGTTTCGGAGTCCTGGGGTTTTACTCGGTCATGAGTTAACTTCTATCTATCTATCTATCTATCTATCTATCTATCTATCTATCTATCTATCTATCTATCTATCTATCTAAATCTATATATATATATATATAGAACAACATTTCCGCCTGGAAAAACATGATTTCAAAACCCATGCCAAATTCACTATAATTGAGAGAATAGAAAAGTTCAGAGCAGATAACATTAGAAAGATTTTAGAGTCCCATGAAAATAAGTGGATACAACGTCTAAAAACAAAATACCCAACCGGGCTAAATCATAAATTTAACAATATATAGATAGTAACAATATATAACTCAACAAATCAAAACCTACCCACATTTCTCACCCACACAAGACAGACATGCTTACGGAGGTGTGGAGGCCTCACACTTATGCACTCACCCACACGAATATACACACTTACACACATCATACTCACTCACTCCCTAATGAGCCAAATGATAACACACACCTACTGCAATACACACGCTTACACATATCATACTCACTCACTCCCTGAGAACCAAATAACACACACACACAAACACTAAACAGAGACACATCCCCTCACCAGGTCCAATAAAACTGTCAAACTGACCAGAGAATTCAAAGTAACATGTATCTATCCAGCTCTTATCTCAAATAACAAGTTAAAAGAGACTGTTTGACCAACACAAGGAATGTTAAAAGATTCATGTTAAAAAGATAAAAAAAGTAAAAAAATAAAAAAACAAATGAAAACTACAGACAAAAGTTCATTTTCTCCAGCAAAAGACATTAATTTCTGTAGTTTACTGCTACCAACAAGCAGAAATATTTCTCCTCCCGATGATGGCCATTTCGGTCGAAACTAGTCGAGGAATCTAAATGGAATAATAATAAAAAAAAACGAAAGAATATTAATCTACAACCCAGTGTGTCTAAAGATTTTCATTTTTTTATTTTCTTATTGTTCAATATATATATATATATATATATATGGATATCTATCTTCTATCTATCTATCTATCTATATCTATCTATCTATCTATCTATCTATCTATCTATATATATATATATATATATATATATGGATTTTATTCATCAATCCGACAGATTTTTATCACTTTAAACGTTATTTTTAGTGGATACTCATATTCCAGTAGACGCTCCATTTATTCATGAAACAGCATATTTATTTCTTTGCGCCTACCGGCCTGAATATTCGAGAAATCTTAATAAAGTAAGATACGCGCTCTCCGTTTAAAAAATATTAATAAATGGAGCCTCTATTCAAATATGAGTATCTACCAAAATTACGTTTAGATTTATATATATATATATATATATATATATATATATAGAGAGAGAGAGAGAGAGAGAGAGAATGTGTGTGTGTGTGTGTGTGTTCACAGAGACCGAGACTGTGATAAAGAATGATCAATATTCTAAATAAATAATAATAATAAATATCTATACAAAACAATCGTTGATGCATTCATTCCTTTCATACATTCAACTATTCTGACTATACAATTGTTACCTTTATCTTTATTTAAAGTGCAATTTTCCCCAAACCGCTTTAAACACGCACCACCCCACAACACCTCTTCCATTTCCTGTCTTTGGTCCTCAATATTATTCTTCTGTATTAATGATTTCTATTGTCATCACTTTATATTTAGAATAGAGAGAGGAGGCCTTGCCGAGAGATGCGGACTGAGGGTCGGAGACCAAATTCTATCTGTAAATGGGGTCAGCCTGAGTGATGTTCCGTACCGGGTGGCGTGTCGACATATGGCGTATGAAGATACAATGGACTTCGTTGTACGGGTTAGTCGAAAATCCACGTTCGATTTATTTAACAGCGTTTATTTTATATATTTGTTTATTTTGTTCCGTTTACTTCTTTCATATCCCCTTTGCGCGCACGTTTACTGACAGACTACTCAAACATCATGAACTGACACTTCACCTTAATTATTATTATTATTTGTAGCCAGAGAGTGTTCAGATCAATATAAAATAGTGTCATGTACAAGAGCTTCAAGTGACAGCAAGCTTTCTAAATACTCCAGCACTCTTTTCAATATGCTCGCTGCTTTAGCTTTTTACGATGGTTATTATTATTTTCAGTTTTCCTGATTTGCTGTCTTATTACCCCACTTTGTCTGTCAAGAAGCCTATAATAGAACGGAAATAATCCTTTCAACGTGTTTTTTTTTTTTCCTGGATCTAGTAACAAAAACCACAGGACTTCTCTCCGCCGGAGATTTTACCTCCAACAGGTTGTTTTCTCAATTTAGACTTGCCACGTCACGCATCCTCCCCCACCACACACATATTTTCTAACAGCAAAGCCTATAAATATTTTTCTCCATTTCCCAGTTATCAATGTACACACAAGTATATTTTCTCTATTCTTGAATTGTTATTCTTTATATAAGAATACTAGCAGTAGAGCCCGGCGTTGCCCGGGGATGTAACAGTAAGAGACAGATCAAGTATCGACCATCATAAAGACTGAAAAATAAAATTGACAAAGATTATTGTTTAAGGTTGACGGACACGCATGCCTTAATTAGTTTTTTTTTTTGTTTTGTTTTGTTTTTTTTTACGAATTGGCCAAACCCAAACTCAAACAAAAACATTGTTTTCAATCGTTATGAGTCTACCGATTGAATAGAATTTTATTATAAACAATTGTCTTGTAAATGGAATTTTTAAAGCATTCTGAATGTAAAAATAAAGAAAAAGGCGTGCAAGACAATAAGAAACACTACCTGCCAAAAAAAAGTGAAGTTTTGTTGAAACCGGTTGAAAAATGTAGGAAATCCGATCCCATATATAAACGAACACACACACATAATAAGTATAACTCGATATGAGTTGTCCCCCTTTCATTCTCGTGATGCATCTTAATCGTGTTTTCAAATTGATTTCGTGCAAAAACAATTGTGTTTTTCAAATTTGGGGCGCTGTCAGAACCACCGCGAGGTAATTTTACGTAGTCCTGTGAAGTTTTGTTGAAATCGGTTGAAAAATGTAGGAAATCCGATCCAATATATAAACGTACAGACACACACACACAATCTGTATTTTATAATAAGTAAGATGTAGATAAAAATCACCCACGTGTTGAAATTCATTTCTTTTGAATATGTTGAATTAGTTTTACTCTGAATGTCTCCATCCTAATCAACCATAACAAATAGTAACTCCTCACACTACAAACTGGTGACCAACAGCAACCTCATCCATAACAAATTGTAACATTCTTCACTGTTGTGCAATACAATTCTTAAAACATTTTACCTGACGCCTGAAATAATGTACGCCATTATCCCTTCTACTCTATATTAATATTTTTTCTTCTTCCCTTATTATCAATCCTTCTTTAATTTTGTCTTTTAAAAGTATCTGTTAATTAAAATATCTTTTGTTCTATTTTTTCACAGTACTCGGGACAGTTTCCGATTTATATAAATACGACTCAAAATCGAGCCACAAGCATAAAATCAAAAGGTAAGTCAATATCCAGGTAAATGTTCATTGATTCTATTGCCATCGTCTTTAGTATTCGTCACACGGGCATTTCTGTTATGAGCAACAATATAGAAAAGAAGTGCCTGTTTGCGAGTGAAAGCCATTTACATAAAAGATCCAATGAAGAAAACGTGAAGACAGTAAATCGCCGGAGGTGACGAGTGGCGCAGCAGTTACCAACAAGAAAATGGAACAGAGAATACAGACACTATCGTATATATATATATATATATATATATATAATTATTATCATATATATAAAACCACCGTATATATATATATATATATATATATATATATATATAGTGGTTTTCTAAGTGTAGCTTAGATGTGGCACAAGACCGAAAGTATGAGTCACCCAGTGAAGATCGAACTCACTATTCAATCGCAACTGATCTAACGAGACAAGTTTGCGAACCAGTACACTACGTCCAAGTTCCTGTAAATATATAAATAAATATATATATATATATATGCATATGCATGTATGTATTTAAGTATTAATATAGATAGATAGATAGATAGATAGATAGATAGATAGATAGATAGATAGATAGATAGATCTAGTGAGCCAGACAAACCTACCTAGGTTTCACCTAAACGGATCGTCAGGGAAAGTAAATATATATATATATATATGCGTGTGTGTGTGTGTTTGCGTGTGTGATAAAATATAGTTTAAAGGTATACCATATTTATAGTATAAAAATACTCAATATCCGTAAACTGTATGTAAATATAAGCAGTGTGAACTCTGCAACAACTAATGGTGGTAGTCTCCTTCATGCGCGTGTGTAATATATATATATATATATATATATATATATATATATATATATATATTCTAAAGAAGTAATTGATTTTTATTAATCCGACAGATTTTTGTCACTTTAAGCAACATTTTTGGTGGGTACTCGTATTTGAGTAGACGTTCCGTTTATTTATTAAACAATGTATTTATATATTTTCGCCTACTGGCCTTAATGTTCGAGAAATTTTATTAAAGAAAATTCGACCGGAGAGCGCGTATTTTTCTTTAATAAAATTTCACAAACATTCAGGCCGGTAGGCGAAAATAAATAAATATTGTTTAATAAATAAATGGGGTGTCTACTCAAATACGAGTATTACTAAAAAAATAACGTTTAAATCGATAATATATATATATAGAGAGAGAGAGAGGAAGAGAAAGCGAGAGAAAGAGAGGGTGACAATTAAAATTAAAATTTATTGACCTAACTCACTTGCCGAAATCTGATCAAGTAATCAAACATTAGATTTTTAGAGATATTACTTCTTGTTTGAGCCGAGTATTTGTCAGTATATATCGTATATTAGATATGCATAAACCTATTCAGGGATTTTTGAAAACCACAAACAGAATAAAATAGTGAAAAAACAATTTTTCGCTGGAAGCTTTTGCAGTAACCTATTCTTGTGTGTGTGCACACGCGTGTGTGTGTATGTGTGCGTGTTTAATATTTGTTGATATCACGCCACCAGAAAATAAAATCTATTTTCTATCATATTTTTCTGTTCTTTAAGATCGTAGAAGTTTTGATTTCTACGTCATATATACACACATAAACAGTTAATCTTGATAGTATTAATACCTTTTCAGAATTTGTTATATTTTAAACATATTTTCACTAAAGAAATGCTTTTTTTCTTATCCAAATTATATATAAAGAAGAGATATAGAATGAGGAATGTGGAGTTTACCGTATTTCATTTTAGTATTATTTGCAATTAGATCACAAAAGGTATGTTCAAAATTAGTCATATCCATGTCTTAATAATCTATTATAAAGGCTTTATCAAATGCCACAGCCTGTAATCAGTTCCAATACCTCATCATCAGATTCTGACAATTACTCAATATGTATTATGAACACACCTTTTCACGACGATATCCATGTCAAATCTCACGAGTAAATTACTCGTGTTTTCAGCTCTCTCCGAAAATTCTAAATTGGTTTAATGTCTGGGTTCTGGCTTTTTCACTCTAAAGCATTGACATTCTTGTCCATGAGCCATGTCTTCGCAAAGTTTGACGTGTTTTGGGTCACTGTCTTCTTGGAAGGTCCACTGATGCTCCAGCCAAAATTTTCCGCTAGACTGTTTGATATTTTGGTCCAAAATCTGAATATGATCTTCTTTCTTCATGATCCCATCCACTTTAACCAGGCTACCAGTTTCACTGGCTGAAAAATTCTGTATAATAGTGATGCCACCAGCATGCTTGGGACTGTGTTCTTTGGATTGCAAGTTTCATCGCTTTTTCGCCAAACAAAAGCAGCAGCAAAGTACACAAGAAGCTCAATTTTTGCTTCATCTAACCAAAGAATTGATGATCAGAATTTGAAATCTTCTCAAGACGATGTTAACAAAAGGTAGACAAATTATATTCATTTAATTATTGAATAATTATGATTTCTACAAAAGTATAATTTCTACGTCACCAGAAGAGTCCACAACAAAAACATGTAATTTGCCAATCACTAAGTAGTGAACTTTTCTGTTGACGTAAAATGTATACACTCACACTATATATATATATATATATATATATATATATATATATATATATATATATAATGTTCATTTATCTTTTGAATTTCTGTACTCTGAACTTTCGTGGAATCTATCCACCCTTCAAACGACTTCACCGTCACTTTCTTAAAAAGAAAGAGATTCAACAAAAACTCAGAATACAGGCACTCGAAAGATAACAAATTTCATTTATTTATTGTTATTATTAATGCTCTATCTCTTGATATTGAGCACTATAATTACAAAGATTGCTTGTCTTAAATAAGTTATCTTACTCTGGTCAACAGACTTTTGGCGAAATACAGTCTTTGTTATTGTTGATAGATAGATAGATAGATAGATAGATAGATAGATAGATAGATAGATGTACGCGCATTTCATTTATATATGTGGATTATTGTTGTTCTTCTTCTTTCGTGCATTTGCATATTCAAACCAGATGTCTTGTGTTTATCACTAGGGATTTAGTTAAAGAAAGTTCCTCAAAACTCCAGCACTCTCCTCCTATTCTCGCTGTTCTTAGTTCTTATTTTTGTCGTTTGAATAATCTTGATTGTTCGCAGATCTTTTCTTATTCTTCTGTTCGGTTATTTAGGACTGCTCCAAGGGCTCCAGCACACTCTCACGCTTATATTCACGTAATGTTTCAAGTTCTCTGGTAAAGATATTTTCAAAGCTATTCACTTTCAATTTTACTCCATCGTTTGTTGGAACAATGAAATCCCCTATATAACCAATTTTCTTCCACTTGTCAGTGACATCTACATGTGATTTTCTGACTTATATAGGACGATCAGTTTCAGTTGGTTGGATAACTTTCCATATTATCCTATGCTGAAATCAGGTTTATTATTATTATTATTATTATTATTATTAAATTTATATTTATAAGCATTTACTTGGTTCAGCAATGGGCATTTACTTCGTTCATGGAAAGATAAATATTAACCATTTATATTTGAGTCTATAAACATTTTATTGGTTCGAGAATAAGTCAATATTGGTCATTTAAACAAGTATTTATAAGTATTTGCTTCAGGGCTACGTAAAGACAGATTGTTTGTATTTAAGTTTGTGAACATTTACTTGGTAGGTGGCTTCTTTTGGAGTCTTTTACTCTTTTGCAGGGATGCTATTTGTGTATTCTAGGCCCCGCTTACAGGTCAGTTTGAATCTAAATGTCCAAGTTTATAATTATTTTTGGTAACATTAGTAGTAATAGTAGCATGCATTTGCATGTTCACGCCAGGTATCTACTGGCTACCGCTGGATATTGGGTGATAGAAATTTTCCTCAAATCTCCAGCACCGCTTCATTATTCTAGCAGATCCCAGCAACCTCGTGACCTGACCTGCAGAGTTGCAATTCTTTCTCGAATGTTTAATCTATTTAACCTTACCTGTAGATTTTTTTTCGTGATTCTATGTGCAACAAACATTATAGGCACGACTATTTTTACGTTCTTTCGTTTATTACCACCGTTGCTGGTGCTGTTCATATTTGTATTTTCTTTGTTCACAGATGGAAGTTTCCTGCATGACACAAATCTCTGTGGAACAATAGGAAAGAACTACCCGTATTCGAATGGTCGTGTTGATCCAATCGGTTCCTGTTCTCCCGGGACGATTCACAGCTACAAAAAATCCGGTCCCTCGAATGAAGATCAACTTTATACAGACACATCCTTTATTTACAACCCTTTATGTAGTGATGAATCTTCCTTGCTGAACTCACTATGCAGTACTCCGTCATCGATACAGACCAGTTACCAGGCCCCAGAAATTAAAGTGAAGTCCGAAATTAATCTGTTGGACACACAGAAAGTGAACTTTTCTGAAGTAACGCCAATGCCGCCACCCAGAACCGGTAAACCAAATCTAGAAAAACTTAACCAGATTTTGAGTAGAAGAACCGAAGCAGCATTGAAGCCTAAACAACCGTCCACAAATTCTCAGGATAATGCAAGTTCTCAATCTTCAATGGTTGAAGTAGAAACGACGGCCATCGTCCACCAGCCTGCAGAGGATACGCCTAAACCTGATCCATTAGAAGATGAGGAATTTCAAAACCCAGTCGATCAGAAAAAGTTAAAAACTAAGCCACCGAGAAAGAACAAGAACAGCAAAATGAGTCTGTGTGATGAAAAGTCGAAATCTGAATCAAAAAATGAAAATGAAATAATAACGAAACCGGAACCACAAGACCATCAGGAATTTATTACTGAACCAGTTTGCATTCCTGAAGTAAAAATCGATACCGAAGCAGGAAACATCGAACCTGAATTAATAGAACTTCTTGAACACTCCAAACCAGAATCCGTTAACGAAACGGTGTCCAAAAATATACCAAACATCATCATAAAACCAGAAAACGTTACCAGGCCGGAAATTATTATCGTGCCGGAAAGCAACAACTTCGAGTCTTTTACAGAAAATTTTATGAAGCCAGAAGTTATTCTTGAAGCAGATCTGCTTTCTTTTCATCGCACGAGCAGTCCGATGCATGACGACGATGACAAATTCTCATATATTTCTTCAGTGTCTCTGGAATATGATGGTGATAATTTTATAATGAAATCATCACTGTCCGAAGACGAAACCGTGAGTAGGAATTCCAGTAATTCAAGGGCGAGTAAAGAAAGTGATGAGATAAATCCTCTGGATTCTGTAATCCCAGACTGTGATGATATCTGCTGGAGAGAAAAAAATTCATACTCGACTTACAAATTAAGTATGATTTTACTTTATATTTTTCATCATTTTTAGTCAACTGTCTACACTATTCGTTGGCGAGGATGTCAGTAGTTCGTTTTCCGCCTTATCTTAGCTAGCTTTGATACTAATATAAAATATTGATACTATGTTAGCAGAGTATCGCTTTCACAACATGGTTAAATCTTCCAAATTTTCTCACAACTGAGATTTTCTGCAAGACAATGCTTGACCATGAGCATTTCAGAATGATGATGAGGCGATAAGATTGAACTTTGCCGAAATAAAAAGAAGAGATATTTAATAAATCAATAAGTAATGAAACAATAAAGAAAGAAATAACAGATTAATAAATACTTAATCCCATTTTGATTTTCTTTTATTGAAATGTCTCTTCAAAACGTCAGTGATCATGTATCTCCACAGATTCTTTTTCTTTATTATTGGAGAATTGCTATGAGTTCTTGGGAAAGAGTAGTGTCGTTTTATTTATTTTAATTTATTCTTGTTCGTAAATAATAAACAAATTAATAAATAATCGTAAGTAAATAATAAAAAATTAACAAACCACGACCACCAAAATAACCGTTAGAATAATGCAATAGCCTATCCACAATATATCACTGACCTGAAAAAAAAAGTCCAGCAAAAAATTACAATGTACAACACCTGACGATTGGGTTGAGCCTGAAACAGACTGTCGCTTCTGGGTGTTGACTTCAATGTTCACTTTTATTTATATATATATATATATATATATATATATATAAAAGAGGGTTATTAATTATTAGATTCAGAGGGCGACACCAAATGTCTGGCCTAGAGTATATATATATATATATATATATATATATATATATATATATAGCCCGAATAGTGCTTTTAAACACAGATATTTCCCTATATATATATATATATATATATATATATATATAGAGAGAGATAGAGAGAGAGAGAGAGAGAGAGAGAGAGAGAGAGAGAAATGAATGTGTGGACGTGTGTGGAATGTAATCGTCTTGATGAAAAGATACATTTTCCCTGTAATAGATTAGGTAACAAAACAACTCATGCCCTCTTTTTATCTTCTTTAAACAAAGATAAACTCTTCGAATGGCAACACCTTGTCAGTATCCTCAGCAACGTGAAACCTAAATGCATTATTTACTGCCAGATAAACTTTCGAAAAGTTCACCTGCAGTAGTCATAAATGAAAATCATCATATCGACCCAAAAAGTCTCTCCTGTGCTCATCTAAACAAAATGGCAGAAGCAGTCTGTAGAATACGTACGGTGTGTAAGGAAACCTGGTTTAAGAGATTGTATATTTTTAGCTTCCACATTCTTAATTAAGTTTCTCTTTTACAAACATCACCAGAGATACCACGCCGTATCCTCTTCTTGGTTGCTATAAGAAACTGTAGGAAGTGCAACTTTGTATTACCTTAATTATTCCATTACCTTATGCACAGTGCTTTTATTGAGACACTATCTGTAGTTGACCGTTGACACTTGGAGTTCATCCGCCATTTGATAGGTCACATTTTTTCCTTTCCTGATGAACGTCTAACAACCCACCTTATCAACAATGAACTAGAATGGGTAAACAATTTAGTCGCTGATCATCAGACAAAACTTGATTATGTAATTATATGTTTGAATAAAGAAATAAATTTGTGGAGAGTCATGATCACTCACATCCTTAGAAGAAGAGTATACCAAATATAAGTAGGTAGATACGAACAAGTATATTAAATATAGATATTTTTAAATATTGTCACACAGCATTTGGTCTGTGAGCATTAAGTCTTTTTGCTTACCAATAAATGTAAAAATACATCACACGGTCAAAAAATGCGTCTGTTCGTCTTTTAAGTGAACATGGTATATGTCCCAGTTCATCTTTAAGCAATGAGTTAGTGCCGTTTTAGGTACAGATTTTCAACCCCTAAATTAAAATTACCCCAAAACTAAAATAACGATATAAGGCAAGGATAGCCAACCTGTGGCGCATGCGCCATAAGTGGCGCATTGGATGCTTACAAGTGGCGCATCCACTTCTACTCATTCATTTCAGTGATTTTATATTTATTGCGCGTCCTTTGCGAAAGTGCTAAAAGGATACGCCCCTGGTCATAAGCATATATTTTTCAAATAAATAGATTTTATTATAACTTTAAAATATGTCCATATTACAACACGTACTGAAAGAAGTGAATGTTTGTGTGGTGCATTTAAATTAATCGTACAAAATATTGGCGCATCGAATCAAAAGTTTGGTCACCCCTGCTATAAGGAATAAGGAAAAGGGAAATAACTCTAATTTTTTTTTTTTGTTATATGTCTTAATATGACTACTCTGGAGATTTATCTGGATTTGTGAAATTTACTAAGTCCTTATATTCAGAGTAGAATTGAGTCGCCCTTAAGCATGCACATATGGAAACGATAAACATTTTTTAGATGCAGTTCTTTCTATTTGAACAAAACGTACATGATTATATACTTTTATAACTACCATATGTACTCATATAAAAGTCGAGTTAAAAATATTTACTTACATTTGAGTTAAAAATGTTTAGCCAAAATCTGGGAATCGACTTAATAACAGTTACATAGAGTTAAAAAAAAAACATGCACGATGAGAACGAGTAAAAGTGACTCTTAACAGCAGATATGGAAAATATTCACTACTTAAAAATATTATCTATTACAATAATATTCTATCCGTCGGAATAAATACTTCACTCGTGTAAATCATTCATCAATGCAGTTTGTCAAAAATAAGTATATATATTATATGTTTAAAAGGGACATCGGTGATACATGTGGTTGAATGATGCCAGCTCACGTAATCTAGTTATGCAACCTGAGTACACGCCATAATTTTGCAGTTTGGTTTGGTTTAGTTTGTTTAACGGCATATCAACTCCATATGGGTCATTTAATGCCGAAATTTAATTTTCTTTATTAATTTTTTTTCAAAAATGTATTGCTGGTAATTTTTCTCTTCCTTTTCCAAAAATGTATTGATGGCAATTTTTTACTCTGAAAATGTATTGCCGGTTTTCTTACAACAAAATTGTATTCTTATACTTTCATAATGTTTTGACCCTAGTTTGAGGGTTCACTATTTGTCCATAGCTGGGACCCTAACAAGTGCTACCACGCCGGGTCAGGGTGGGCTTAGGGCCAGGGTGGGCCTGGGGTCAGGGTGGGCCTGGGGCCAACAGTAATTAAGTGGTGGTTCCACATTCCTCAAACCTCCCGATCAGAGGCCTTGTTGAAGAATGTAGTTTATCGGCATACACAGGGCGATAATTTTGAGGCTTTTGTCAATGTGGTTGTGTATTGAAACATCCTTGCTGGCCAGTGTCTTAAGATGCATAGTGTGGGTCGCTACAAACACATTGCAGGTGGCAGTTAGAAAATCTGAAATAAGAAAAACCTTCTTAATAAAGAACGTGAAAAAAAAATAAGGTGATTGAAAGAATTAACGTACTTGCTAGACTCTTATAACCTCCACAGTAGACCTAGCATAGAATAAAATACTATATGGAAGTATTTTATAAAGAAAGAATGGGCATTGGGTTTAAAGCATAAAGATTCCAACATAAGATTGATAGTGAAAATAATTGTTAATTAAATTAATGAAATTTATCTAATAGTAATTTAGTCCTTGGTTCTTGGTTCATTTGAATGAATAGAAGACCTCCCCACTACCCAGGAAGAATGAATCAAGAAGAAGTAACGAAGAATAATTAATTAATAGGATAAATATTCTAGCATAGACAGCTAAGTAAAAAATAAAGTTTGAGCAGAAATTCCTAGAATGTTACCAATTACCACAAAACGATGAACAAGGTTGGAATATATACAACTGCTACAATTTTTATTATAATAACCAAGAAGAATATAGCAACTGGAATAAATCAATGTATGATAAAAAAAACATTTTTTTTATCTATCCTGAATAGGTAAAGTTAGAAAGCATACATCATTTTCTTAATTACTAGACAGAAGTTCAATAACTGTTCCACGATCTTTTTTTATATTACAATATTACTTGTTGAAATTTGCCGATTTAATGTTGTCTAGTTATAATTTATAAATTATTTGCTCTTTGCATTTTTATCTAAATTTTTTAGATGAGGAATTATCATAATTATACACAAATATGCTCAGACGAGTATTTTCATATTAGCTATTCTAATCCTAACATTTCGATCGCTGTACCATGTGGCCTTCTTCTGTCGTAGTTAGTAACCGCCTGAGAATTTCAAACCAAATCCTTGGTTAAATCCATTTGGATAAACTATATACTAATTCCTTTTGTTCATGCTAGAAGATATCTTGTGCCAGTTAATTATTCCGCATTAATTGGTCTTTACGATGATGCTAGACGTTACACTGAAAAGAGCATTTGGTTTTTTACACGGCCCTACTCAGTGATTATAATCCTGGCTGTCTTTCAACAAGATCTGATTAACTATAAACGCATAAGATGAGAACTCTCGTCCACGTAGTGATTTACTAAACGAAGCTTAGATGTGGCACAATTCCCACTCCTCTGCGTATATCAGTGTATAGTAAAACCCTGGGTATTTCGGTTTATAATTTTGAGTATTTTAATTAGTTTCATGAAATAGTAGTAATAATAGTGGTAAAGGGAATATCAGAAATGATACTTATAAGATGATATCCTGTTCAAAGTAAAGAAGTATTTATTTTTTCTCTCCCTAAATGTAACATAATTTTTAGTAGGCACCTACAAAAATTCGCTAAAAAAAAAAATACATGATGTCAAAAAGGCAAAAACAAACTTTTATTGTCAAAAACTTTATGTTATTATTAAGAGAAGAGATCAAAAGAATATTTTATGCAAAAAAGTTTTTTAGCCTTTTTAGAACCTTGGAAATTTTGTTTCAAAAACCTTGTTTTTGTGATGTTAACACGGGACCATGAATTTGTACTGAAAATGTGAGCTTTTATTTTTTTCGGTGAAAAACACATTTTTTGGAAATTCTTGTAAAAATCAGATAACTGTTGGATTTTAATTTTTTTTTTTAGGAAAGCTTGGTATTTTTTACATCCCCCACACACTCATTTCATTTTATGAAATTTCGAGAAATTCTTTTTTGTATTGCTTAATGTTTATATTTGTTATAAGGAAAAATTTGTTTTAGGAAAATTTGTTTTAGGAAAATTTGTTTTAGGAAAATTTAAATCGTCAGTTTTTTTTCTTTCTGGTCAAATAGGACACACAGTTACAGGAAAATCAGCTTTGAATCGTAAAATAGAAATGCAACAAAATAAAGACATTTAATTAGAAAAGCTTTTAATTGCTTTTATGAATAATAGACATTATAAAGTTCGGCTAATAATGAATTTTTCAGGAATTTATAAGTTTTAATTTCTTTAAATTTTAATTAGAATAATTTACAAACTTTTAGATCTTTTAAAATCCTGTATTAATTTGTAGCAGCTAAGTGATATTGTTATTAGACTAAAACTGTATTTACTAATCATAGATGTAAAAGCTCCCTACAATTCACGAGCACAGGTATTTTAAAAGGAATTTTGAATTATTTTATGTCTATAAACGTGTCGTTTTTTTCTTTGTGAATACGAACGGCCATACACGACATGAACTTACAGTGTATTTGGTGCCATTAATGTGCCACTAGGTATTCATACAAGTTTTGAATACAAAGTTGTACTTCTCTTAGACTGGTTGCTAACCAAGAATAAAGAATCCATCCTGTCTTAATATTTAACCCCAAGTTGGGAGAAATAGTCTTTTCCTAGAGGTATTTCTGCATAAGTGAATGTAAATTACTTTACTGGAATTCAACATCGGATCAACGATTTCTCGTTCTGAGAATTAGATCACTCTCATCATATATATATATATATATATATATATATATATATATATATATATATATATATATATATATATATATTGATATATAGTGGTCAATATATATATATATATATATATATATATATATATATATATATATATATATTAGTTGGTCAATATATATATATATATATATATATATATATATATATAAATTTCAAGAGGATAGAATTCAGGTAGAGCTCAATGTCCAGAACAGAGCAAGAATATAATATAAAAGGCCCGAACATCTAAATTTGAATTTGTAGGTCGGATAAATTGGATCATAATTACGATTCCAATGTAATAAATTATTATAACCATTGAATATTAGTGTTTGAGCCTTTTATATTATATTATATATATATATATATATATATGTGTGTGTGTGTGTGTGTGTGTGTGTGTGCGCGTATTACAATCATAAGCAATGCATTTACATCATACACACACACACGCGCGCGTGCACATAGATATATATGATGTAAATGCATTGCATATTATTGTATATTGAAAATATGGGCAATCATTTTTCTCCGGAAATGCTTTACAAATTATTTTACTATAGAATTGCGTTGATAATCAAAAAGAAAGAAACTGTCAAAGATCAAAAATGAATTCAAGTGTCACTAACAGAACAGGGTTGTTCGTGTGATTAAGATTGATGAGTGACTGTGAATCGTGTTAAGAGCTCAATTAAATTAAAGCGTTTTATCGTGAAGGGGTCATCTTAACTCTTTTCTTTTGACTATTTAGATGAAGTTCCGATCCAGAGAAACAATGTAATATCTAAAGTGCGACAGATAGAAGAAAATTACCGCTTGTCAACCACGACGAAAATGAAAGAAGTAAGCCGGACAAACTTGGAAACCAGATTCGAACGTAAGTAGCCCGTTGACAAGACTTATAAACTGTAATGAATCTACAACTCCAGTAAATATATCGCTTTCCACCCCTCTTGACTGAACGCAGTAATCTCTCTCTCTCTCTCTCTGTGTGTGTGTGTGTGTGTGTGTGTGTGTGTGTGTGTGTGTGTGTGTGTGTGTGTGTGCTTGTCACTGTCGAAGTTGACAAAGGTTGTAACAAGTCTTTACAGTTATGACTGGCGGTATTTATAAGAAGTGTTTTACCCAAATGTTTTTCTCCAAATGCTCTTTCCTGTCTGTTATCGTTGCATGACACACACAAGACGATTTTTATCGAGATATCTGGCAATGGGACAGGGCTCAGGGAAAAGTGGATGCATGCAGTTCCTAAAGATATTAGTGCGATGTAAGCATAAACATGTCCGAAATTCGAACTCGTTTTACTGGTTCCATTTTCCGTACCAATAGTTGTTACACAACGCCCACTATCCAATTACCCTCGTGGGGTTTATTTCAAGATCCCCAGCAGATGACCCGATATGCACAAAGATTTTTCGTATATATACATACTAATCATAAATTTTAATTTACAGATTAGGTACAATAAAAGATAAAAGACGGTAATTAAAAATAGAAATTATTCTTGTAATCCCCAAAATACGTTTCGTGTTTAAATAACACCCAAAGGGATTATGGACCGTAAGGAATCAATCAACACTGGCTGGCTGTACTCTCTTTTATTTTATTCTTTTAATCTCTCTTCCGTTTTATTCTTCCTTTCCCAATTTCTCTTTTCACTTTATATCTTTCCTTTTCTGTGCATACTTTTGGTTCTTTTTTACAATGTCTTCTTTCTTTCTTTCTATCTCTCTCTCTCTCTCATTCTTTTTTCTATTCTCCTTAGGCTTCCTTGATCAAGCTTCTTTTCTGTCGTATACCTTGTTTGTTTTTATTCGTTCACATTAAACAAAGTTAGGCTAATATATTCTCAGCCCGATCAAAAATTCTGATATTTTGGTCAGATTTGAAGAAATGGCCGCTTGAGAAAATGTCAGCATGCTCTCGCAATTTTTATCGTTCAATTTCTAATTCTGTTATCATTTTCTCACAATAATTCTTCTGTCAGTTTATATTTCTGTCTGTCTGTCTCTTTTATTTCCCTAAAATCCAATTCTCCTTCTCTTCTCATTTACTCCCTCCTCTCTCTCTCTCTCGTTCTTTTTCTTCGCTCAAGTGATCTCAATTGTATCTCTCTCTCTCACCCACTCACTCTTTCCCTAAAATTTTCTTCATCGCCTGTCCTCCTTTCTATCTCAGTCTGTATGCTCTCTTTATCATACCGACTTGTTTCTTTCCCCCTTTCTCTGTCGCTGTCTTTCCCATTTGCATTTTAATTTTTACCTTGTCCTTCATGTTTGCCTCCTCCTTCTCTTTAATTCAATATTAACAAATCTTGCCAAGTGCTTATTATCAACATACCCTTCCCATCAATCCCACTTCCTGTCTACCGACTTGTCACTTTAATTGTCGAAATGACTTCAGTGTGCGCTCCAATTTATTTTCTATGCTTCTATTTAATTCCCCCACCGACATTGTCTATTTTCGTTCACTTTTTCGTACTCCCATTTCTTCCTTTCTCTTTATTTTAATCGTTCCCTATCTACGTTCCTCTTTGTCTTTACTTTCTTTTTTCTTAATTCTTTTCCCTTTCTTTTTAGCGCCTACACTTCTTACTCTTCTCGTTTATTTTTTTTTCTTTTATTCTTCTCCGTCTTCTTTATTTTATATCATTGATTGTTTTTCTCATAGACCTCTCCTTTTTGCATTTTTCTTTCTTTCTTTCTTTTTCTTTCTTTCTTTCTTTCTTTCTTTCTTTCTTTCTTTTATTTTATTTCTTTCGTTCTGACACACTTTCTTCTTCCGGTTCTTATTCATCTTTCTTTCGTATTTCTTTCTTTTGAACTGTCCCTGTTTTCTCCAGTTGCTTCTGATTCTTACCTGGCTTTTTTTCTTCACTAAATTCTGATCACGTCATCTTCTATTTCCCGTATATCTCTCCCCACCTCTCTCTCTCTCTCACTCATTTACCTGTTTTTTCCTTGATTTGTTAATCGCATTGCTCACCCCCTTTTTTTTTATTGACTTCTTGATTTCTTGTCCCAATTTCGTCTTTCTTAACTGACATTTTTCTTTTAAACATTTTCATTCGCTCCTCATTAGTTTTATTTTTATTACTATTATCAACATTTCCTATTATTTCTGTTGTATACTCATTCTTTCCTAGGTCCCAACCAGACCTAAGGTCAGAAATGGCATCATGACATTTTCCACTGAACATTTAAAAGATAAAAATAAAAGAACCTAAGATTATACACATTTTACAGAGAAAGCCCATCGTAATGTGTGAGCTGTACTTATGAGAAATTTTTTCTTGTATTTCTTTAGGGCATGGGATACATGGGATCCCTTCAATAAGTTTATCGTAACCTTTTATAATCAAATCAGGAGCCCAACCACAATGTTTTTGAGATTTCCACTTCAAGATTCTTGTATTTTGATAGATTTTTGAAGATCTTCAAAATACATTCCAGTTTGTTGGAGCTGCCATGTTAATAAGAAAGCAGATTCTGTTTTTGTGGTCTTTGACACCTATGTCTGGGCGATTAACTTTGATTTTTCTTCCTGTGTATATTGTAAGGTCACATAAAATTACCACAGGTCTATATGTCTGTAACCAGGTCTGAGTGGTGTTCATATCAATTTCTTAGTTTCCTTCCCGTACAAGTTCCAGGTTTTCCAGTGCTGATATTGGCCCACCCTGTCATGCCGAGTTTTATATTCGGTGGATGCTAACACCGTGCAGCCTGATAAAAGATGGTCAATTGTTTCTGCATATTCATCACAGAATCTGCATTTCGAATTAACATAATTTTTCAGTATGTTTGCTTGATATCAGTCTTGTGCAACAAGAAAAAAATCTTCGTTTTCAGCTTTTAACCCTGCACTACACAATCACTGATGGGTATGGGGTTTATCTACATCAGCTTGCTTGGCACGAGGAAAATATTGACCATTAAGAGGTTTATAGTGCCATCGTTTCAGCATTTGGTTCATTGCATTTACTTTTGCTTTTTTAGGTTCTTTGCTACTGCAGTAGGCGCATTATGGTTTCCTTGATCTTCTTCATCCACTTGAAATTCCCTTTTATTGGCTTCCGTTATAACTGATTAATATTATGTATAATATTTGCCTGAAAGTTTCTAGTGAAGAGACTCTGGTCTTGTGCTGAAAGAATAAAGCCTTGCGTTTCAGCCTTTAACCCAGATACTCATAACCATCGATGAGTGTTAACATCGGCTTTATTTGCACGTTCTGGATAATGGCCATGCAAAGATTTGTCTTGACACCCTTGTTTCATCTGTTCAAGAACTTTATTATTGTTATTATTATTAAACTTGCATCTTCACATCTGGTGACTCTCGCAAAAAATACCCCAGAACCCCCCACAGTATTTCAGCTGTTTTCAACATTGCTGTTGCCTGGATGCGCTCGATTCTTCCTCAGAACTCCAATTGTTTTTACTTTTTATAACTGTTCTAAGCATTCTAACAATCATGGACAATCCTCTTGCGAAATGTTTGTTAGTTGTTCACTTAAATCTTTTCTCTATGATCTGATGGAACAACATTATTGACCATTTGATAAATTTCCTTCCCTTTGTGTAGGATTATTAGATCTAACTTTCTGGACTTGACTAAATGATCCGTTTAACTCTTAAAGTTAATAATAATAATATAAACGCACCAAATTTTGTTGAAGATTGAACCAAAGTATCAGCTGTTCACAACCACTAGATTGATGCAGCACATTTTCATTAGGACGCAATTCCAAGGCGTGAAGTCTTCTAAAAGTGTTCTATCTTGACACTGATCCCAGTCTTCTCCAACTACTTTGGAAGTTCAATACTAATAATACCCAAAGAACCAACAATAATGGGGATGACTTCCAATCTCTTCACTGACGGCATTTTGTACGCTTCCCATTTTAAACTATCAAAGTCTTTCTTCATCTTTGTCAACTACTATATTGTCTCTGAGGCATGCAATATTTATGACGATGCATTTCAATTTGTATTTCTTCTGTGTATTATTATTATAATTATAATTATTATTATTATCTATGCATTTGCATCTTCATTCTCGATGTTTGGTGGCTATCGATAGAGATTGAGTAGCAACACGTTTTCTCAAACCTTCAGCACATTTCCCAATATCTTCACACCACCATGATTTGGAGAGTTCCAAATCTGCTTCGAACTTTCAATTCATTTTATCTCTTCTCTCACTTTTTCACATTATCTCTCCTCTTTCACCTACTTTTTATTTCTGTTCCTCTTTCTGCTTCATCTTTCTCTTGTTTCTTTGTTCTTTCAGCTGGGTCTTCCTCTCTTCCGTCGTATCTATCAGGTCATCCCATAAGTTCTGTCCGAATTTTGAATATACAAGACCAGTGACCAAATGTTACATTTAATTACAGATTCAATCAACAATGTATTTTCCCTGATTATCTATGACTTCCTTCCATCTATTGACAAGCTTACTAATTCCATTACTGTAAAATTCTTTTGGCTTTGATTCGAAGAACTCACAAATGTCAGTTTTAACCTCTTCCTGTGTTACAAAAGCTGTTTCTTTCAAATTATTCTGTAAGCTACGAAACAAATGGTAGTCTGAAGGAGCAAGATCGGAAGAATAAGGTGGATGAAGAATTTTCTCCCAACCAAGTTCTTCGATCTTTTGTGACGTGATTCTTGCTGTGTGGGGTCGCGCATTGTCCTGATGAAACATCACATCTTTTCGATTCACTAGAGCAGGTCTTTTTTCCTCAAAGTTTGGTTCAAACGCTCTAATTGCTGACAGTATATTTGAGCATTAATTGTTGCATTAGGTGGTAAGAATTCAAAGTGGATTATTCCTTGGCGATCCCACCAGATTGAAAGAAGAACCTTTTGCCCATGAAGTTCCCTTCTCGGCTGTGGCTGGGGTCCTTCCCCTTTACCAAGCCACTGTCTACGACGCTTAACATTTCGATAAAAGATCCATTTTTCGTCGCCTGTCACAAGTCTATCCAAAAAAGGTGAAACAAGTTGACGAGAATGGAGAGAAGAGTAGATGTCAACTCGGGATTTGAGGTTGTTTTCAGACAAGTTGTTTTCATGAGGCACCCATTTTCCAAGTTTAGGAACTTTTCCAAGTTGTTGAAGATGACCATGAACAGCTGTATGGTTTGAACTGAGAACCATGGCCAATTCCTCAACTGATAAAGCAGGATTTTCTTCAAGGGCTGTTTCAAGAAGCTTTTCATCAAACTCAACTGGACGTCCGGTTCGATCTTCATCTTCAAGGGTGAAATCTCCACCTCTGAATTTTGCAAACCATCTTCTGCAAGTTCTTTCATTCACACATTCCTCTCCATAAACTGAGTGAATGTTTCTAGCCGCTTCGGCTACTGAGTTTTCTTTCTTGAACTCATAAAGCATTATGTGCCTCAAATGATTCTTGGGTACTTCTATGTTAGCAGGGTTTTAATCAAACAAAATTTAATTTTATTGTTCTCTGAAATAAAATTTGATCAGTTTAAATGCATCTAAACATAAAAATAATGTTCAGCTTCATTAGACATTATAAAATACTCTTTAAATTTCGTTCATTTTAAAAAAGGTAAAATTCAGACAGAACTTATGGGATGACCTGATACGAACATATTTTTTCTTTCTTTTCTCTAAAAATAGATTTGTTTTACTTTTGTTTACGTATTTTCCCATATGTACATTCTTGAACTGATCGTAAGGTCACCTGGCTGAGAACGATGGCTATTTAATTAATCTCTCATGCTCGAGTTAGAGATTTCGATTATTCTTATATTGCTACCTTGTGTCTGACTTAAGCGTTGATAAAATATCAATAACAGGTTGGAGGCACTGAGTGATGTCGGTTTATTCGTCTTACCTACTATTTCTCCATTATTATTTTTATTTTTCTTCATTCTTTTCCTTTCCCTTTCTTTTTCATTTTCTACCTTTTTCTTCTTTGACTTTCGTTCTTTCTTATTTTTTCTTTCCGTTTTTACCGAATCTTGTCATTCTCTCTCTCACGCTCTTTCTTATTTATTTTTCTTCTTCCTTTTGCTATCTAATTTCTCTTCTTAGCCTCTCTTCTTTCCTTCTGATTTTCTGTGTGTATTTTCCTCTCTTTATTTTCAATGTCATTCGTCTCACTTTTTCTCCCCACCTTTACCACCGATTCTCTATTTTAATTTCTACCTTTGTCCCAACTCACCTGAGTGTCGCCTTCTCTAGCAATCCCTCCCTCCTTCCCTCACCACCATTTCCTTTTCCCCATTACTCTCCGAACTTTCCTTCTTTCCAACCAGCCGTCAAAATTTCCTCCCTTTCTTTATCTGTGGTTACGAGCACATGCCCGTACCTCTAACGACGGCTCTAGCCAACACGCAGTCACAACCCGCGAACAGGCACGCTTCGGGCCACCGGTCGACTCGCCGTCCCTGCAAGATGGACTTGAGTAGAAGATCGGGTTCTTTAACTTCGGCCCCGTCTACCAAAGATATAGATGTAATTGATGAAGTTCTTGCCGAGGACGAGGAGGGTAATACCGGGGTGAAAGAACATATTCCTATGTCCTCGGCTCTTTTTCGTTTGTCTTGGATTAGCGATGATAGCGACTCGGACGACCCAGGCCGTAAGTTGTTTTCATTGTTTTTCAAACATGAAAAAGAATAGCGGCCAATATGGGTTGCGTTTCATATGGGATATCGAACACACACGCGCGTGCACACACACACACACACACACACACACACGCGCGCGCAAACACAGAGGCGCCCTCCCCACACACAGATAATCATGTGTATTCAAGTAAAATACTTCGTTAATACATATTTATTTTTAATATTAACGTTTTAATTTTTGTTCAAGGGGACACAGGCCAGTGATCAATGGATGTAATAATCCATTAAACGTTTGAAATCTATCGCTCTCTGCTTTACATTTAGCCATTCTCAAGATCCGAAACGTTATAAGTTAGCGACAAAGATTTCTGTCTAATTTTTAATTTTTTTTTTTCAGTTAAGTCTTAATAAATTGAAAATACAATCATTCGTTGTCTTTTGCTCTTAACAAAGGATTATATATATACATATATATAAATATTTATATATATATATATATATATATATATATATATATATATATATATATATATATCACCTACGAATTTTAATTTTAAAATTCGGAGGATTTTTCAAACTGTCTATGGTATCAGTTTGTCTGATACCACAGACAGTTTGAAAAATTGAAAAATTAAAATTCGTAGGTGAAACTGGTCATTCACTAAAGGTATCTTAATTCCAATTGTAAAGAAAATTTGCGCTGTTTAATGAAAATAAACATTAAGCGTGAGTCAGTTTTAACATATTTCAAATTCTGTGTTGTGTTAATAGGACTCGCCTGGATTATAACAACGGTTTACTACCTTTCTTTCTCTCTCTCTCTCTCTCTCTCTATATATATATATATATATATGTGTGTGTGTGTGTGTGTGTGTGTGTGTGTGTGTGTGTGTGTGTGTGTGTGTGATCGTATTTAGCTTTAGGCATGAATTTGACAATCATTACGCAGTGTTGATTTCTATGTTCACACTGTGTATATCTACAAACGCTCTGATCCTAAGCACTCTTCTCCCATAAGTATAACAAATTTTAAACTATAAATCATATATATATGTGTATGTGTGTGTATGGTAATAGGGGAGGAAAAATAAACGTTTTAAAGAAAGATTCAAGCAATACATATATATATATTGCTTGAATTTTATATATGATCTTGAATATATATATATATATATATATATATATATATGAAGAACTTCTAGTTTGAGTTTGAAATGTTTTGTCATGAGAAAAATAATTTTATTTTACAACAAAATCTAAATAAGCGATAAAAGGCGTAATTCACATTAAACTGCTGAATGTTTGATTTTTACTTTAATTATACCGTTATTGAATTTAGATTTTTGTCATTTTCAACTCAGTTTTTATTGATATATCTATTGATCTGTTTCTTAAGTTTTACGTATCCCACGTTGTTTCAGTACTAATTTAGTAAGAACAGGTAATAAACTGAAATAGTTCCATCGCATATTAATTCTACTTGAGCTCGTACATCATAGCACTTTCAATATATATGTTCGTCTGTATATATTGATACACAATGTGTTTCATGTATATATCAGTTTGTGCAGAATATCTTAATGATCATCGTCTCTACAAATAAACCTGGAATTTCATACAAATCTCTTTATTTACATTTCGAATTAATTATTGTTGGAAAAGTATGATGAATCCACACCTTCTTCTTCTTCTTCTATATCCATTAGTCAGTTATCTTGTGGTCTCGTACCAAAACTAAGCTGAGTAAATTACAGCTGGGCGCTTTCTTTTAGTGTAATGGTTAACAAGTTGATCTCATTAATCATTACTTCTTAGAAATATGTTCGATCTCTACTGGTGCCCCATAAATTTGGCATTGTGCAAAACTAAGCTCAGATCAGTAAGGAAACTACTGAGTACCCCCTTCTTCTTCTTCTTCTTCTTATTATTATTATTATTATTATTATTATTATTATTATTATAATAATAAAATATATTACTACTATGTCCCATTGCCAATATGTTCCAAGTAAATAATTATAATGAGTGTTCCACGATAGAGTAAGGGTTAACGAGTCAGTCTATCAGATCATTAAGATTATGAAGTGAGGTCGATCTTTACCGAGTATCCGATTACTGTGTAGTCTAGTGCGAGACGAAGCCAAGATTTGTTAATAAACAAAATTGGAAACTCGCCGGAGAATAATGACCAGCGATTTACTTTAGCGGATACTGCTGCACTCATTTTCTAAGTGGTATCGGTTCGCCTACTTTGAATATCAACATTCGAAATCCTATCTGTTTACCGGGGCTCGAACACGTGCCACTGGCATTAGGAAGAAATATGCAACACGTTCCGTTTACAAGTACAATGATATAAATTCTTAAATAAATTCATTGAATTGGCTTTTTCTGTTCAGCTAAAGTTAACATGTTATCTCTATATTTTTAACCGAATCAAAATCAGGTGCTTTCGTTTAAACTTTTTTAAAACTGAAACATTTTTTGTCAGTATTATAAAATTCCATAAAATTAACTGATAATTTATATTACGAATGAGACAAAAAGTAAAATTAAGGAACAAAGCTTAATGCCAATGGTAATTTCGAAGCTGGGTACATTTTTTTTTTAAATCGGGCGATACTGAATAACCTTGCTTGTACAAGAGGTCATCAGACAGTGTCAATTGTGCACTTAACGTCGGTCAGTATTCAATCAGCGGGACAGTTGGGGTTGTGTCGTTCTTGTTAAACGGTGATGGAACGCTATTTTTACACGTTTTAATTCCGTCCTCGACAAAACCAAGACGAACAAGGGTGAAGACAATAACACACAATCTGTTTTATTTGTCTGTATCTCTATTTCGTGTCATGTACCATGGATTTTCTCTGTCCTCGTTTGTCTCTCGGCCTGTCTCTGTCTATATTCCTTTCTCCTACAAATATTATAAATCATAACGTACGCATGCATATATATATATACATATACATATATATATATATATATATATATATATATATGAACATTGAAGTCAACACTAGCATGAAACAGCCTGTCGCCTCTGAGTGTTGATTCAATGTTCATTTTTATAGTTGCATACGCTCTATCTCTGATATTGAGCACTTTATCCCCTAAATATAGCACAACACCTTAAAACATATTTCTTCATATATATATATATATATATATATATATATATATATATATATATATATATATATATATATGTATCTATAGGAAATGGATTAAGTACGACATATTTTTTATTTGTAATTTATTTTGTTTAAATGTTATTTTTATGAATACTCATATTCGTGTAAAAGCTCTGTTTTTTTGTGTTTTGTTTGTTTGTTTTTAATTTTTATCCAACTACATCTAAAAGTGAATATTCGAGGATCTTATCAGAAAAATATGCGTCCTCCGGCATGATTCGAACCTGCATCCGCTATGCAGAACCGTCATTGGATCTGACGTGAGTATCCATCAAAAATAATGTTTAAACAAAATAAATTAAAAATAAAAAATATGTCGGATTTAATCCATTTCCTAAAATAAATTGTCTTTTTTACGTTAGGATACGTAACAGAACAGTTATGGATGCTTCGAAAATCGGCAGAGAGTGTGTGTTCAAAATCACTATTCGTGTCTTGTTAAGCCGTAAGTCCTACGTGGCCGAGTGGTTAAGCACGTCTGATCCAATGACGGTTCCCTATAGGAGATGCAGTTTCGAATCCTGCTGCTGGCATATTTTTCTGCCGAGATTTTTCGAATATTCAGGCCGGTAGATGTAGTTGGATAAATAATGCTGTTTAAAAAAAACAGAGCTTTTACTCGAATTTGAGCATCCATCAAAAACAACGCTTGAAGAAATTAAAAATAAATACATGTATATGTGTGTTTGTATTGTTGAATATGACAGACAAGAAAAACTTGATGAATTATTTATTGATTTTTCTAATATTGTTAAATTTTTCCGTTTGGTGGGGATAAGGGAGTGTAAAAATTGTTTATTCACCCAAGCGTTTTCAGTCACTTCTTAGCCATTTTCAAGGGTTTTGCTGTTAATTGTGGTTAATTTCTATTTACGCTTGTCTTTTAAGAAATATTGTGTGATGTATATTGTATGATAGTAGCGTTTATTCCGAGCCCTGCGAAAAGAACGGATCTGTAATTCAAGTTGGCCTCTTATTTAAAATAAAAACCTTTAGCACATTGTTTCCGTTGTTAAATAAAGTAAGATTAATACTGGGTGTCAGATGTTTTATATGGAGTGCTTCTCTAATATCGAGATGTTTTCGGTTATGGGATTTATGAAAGATGGTAGTATTACCAACCAGAATTTCCCTTATGGGTTCTTGTAGAGAGTGAATGGATAAATGCTTTTTTTAAGGCACTTTGATCAGGTAAATGACACATTAGGCGTCTGCGCAAGAAGGTAGGAATGTGACCGATAATTGATTTATGACAAGAAACACAATCTTGTATTGGGAATTAAATCCATACACTATATTGGTTATCGCTAGTTTAGATTTAATAGGTTTGCTTTCATTATTGACGATGAGGCTGACGGGTTTCCATTTCAGCAATATATTATAAGTTTTACCAGTTTGTCAGAATGTAGCCACCCACAATCTACAAGAACGCATAAGGAAAATTCAACGAAACATGTTTGAAAGAAAGGTTGCTGCCCAAATATATATATATATATATATATATATATATATATATATATATATATATATATATATGACATACATAGAGAGAGAGAGAGACATAAATATAGAGAGGAGGGGAAACGATGTAATAGATCTTCTAGTCGATATTTATATCCATCTCTATCCTTCTCTCTCTCTCTCTTTCTCTATCTATCTATCTATCTATCTATCTATCTATATATATATATATATATATATATATGTGTGTGTGTGTGTGTGTGTGTGTGCGCGCGCGCAACGCACGCGCGTGTTTGGGAGGAACACTTCGATAGTAATGTATCCTGTTCATTTCCATAGAAACAACAACAGATATAAGG